CATTCCCGTTCCCGTTCCCATTCACATTACCATTGCCATTGCCATGGCCTTGGCCATTACCATTGCCATTGCCATGGTCATTGCCATTGCCATTGCCATTGCCAATCCCATTGCCATTGCCATTACCATTATTCTTGCCATTGTCATTGTCATTGCCATTGCCAGTCGCTGCCCCGTTACCATTACCATTGCCGTCACCATTACCAGTGCCATTGCCATTGCCTCTGTCATTACCATTACCATTGCCGTTGCCATTAGCCACTACCATTACCATTGCCAGTACCATTCCCATTTCCATTCCCATTCCCAAAACCATTACCAAAACCATTTCCATTACCATTACCACTGCCATTGTCAATACCATGGCCATTACCATTACCTTTACCTCTACCTTTACCCTTACCATTCCCATTTCCGTCACCACTACCACTACAATTTCCATTCGTGTTCCTGTTTCCATTCCCATGTCCATTCACATTCCCATTCCCATTCTCATTCACATTACCGTTACCATCACCATTACCTCTGCCATTGCCATGGCCATTACCATTGCCATTGCCATTGCCATTGCCATTGCCAATCCCATTGCCATTGCCATTACCATGACCGTTGCCATTGCCATTGTCATTGCCACTGCCAGTCGCTACCCCGTTACCATTACCATTAACGTTACCATTACCAGTACCATTACAATTACCTCTGTCATTCGCATTACCATTGCCAGTGCCATTCTCATTAGCTACTACCACTACCATTGCCATTACCATTACCATTACCATTACCATTGCCATTACCATTACCATTACCATTACCATTATCATTATCGCTGCCATTACCATTATTATTCCCATTCCCATCACCATTGCCATTACCATTACCGTTACCAGTACCATTACCAATACCAGTGCTATTACCATTACCATTACCATTACCACTATCATGTCCATTACCGTTCCCGTTCCCATGCCCATTCCCACTCCCATTCCCATGACAATTACCATTACACTTACCTTTATCATTACCATTACCATTTCCGTTACCATTGCCATGGCCATTACCAGTGCCATTGCCATTGCCATTGCCATTGTCATTGCCATTGCCATTGCCATTGCCATTGCCATGACCATTACCATTACCGTTGCCATTGCCATTGTCATTGCCATTGCCAGTCGCTACCCCGTTACTATTATCATTACCGTTACCATTACCAGTACCATTACAATTACCATTGTCATTCCCATTCCCATCACCATTGCCATTACCATTACCGTTACCAGTACCATTACCATTACAATTACCAGTGCCATTACCATTACCACTACCACTATCATTTCCATTCCCGTTCCTATTCCCATTCCCACTCCCATTCCCATTACCATTACCATTACTTTTACCATTACCATTGCCATTTCCATTACCATTTCCATGGCCATTACCAGTGCCATTGCCATTGCCATTGTCATTGCCATTCCCATTGCCATTGCCATTACCATTACCATTACCGGTGCCATTGCCATTATCATTGCCATTGCCAGTCGCTACCCCGTTACCATTATCATTACCGTTACCTTTCCATTACCAGTACCATTACAATTACCACTGCCATTACCATTACCATTGCCATTGCCATTGCCATTCGAGGATTTCAGTAGGAATCATTCCGTTGAGGGTTTCAGTTGGAATCCACATGTGGAGGATTCCAGTAGGAAACATTCAGTGGAGGGTTTCGATAGGAACCCTTCTGTCGAGGATTTCACTATGAATCCTTCTTGTGGGGGTGTTCAATAGGAATCCTTCTAGGGGGGAGGGCAAATGAGGCCACGTCGCTTTCCTTTTTTTTTCGCCGCCGACCCCCCCCCCAAAAAAAAAACAACAACAACAACAACAACAACAAATCCGCGAATCTCAAGTGCGTTTTCCCCCTTTTTTTGGGGGGGTACCAGGAGACAAAAAAAGGCAGAGAGGGAGGAGGAGGAGGAGAGGGAGGAGGAGGAGGAGGAGGAGGACGAGGAGGAGGAGGGGGAGGAGGAGGGAAAGGAGGAGGAGGAGGAGGCGGAGGAGGGGGAGGAGGAGAGAGGAGGAGGAGGAGGAGGAGGACGACGACGACACAGAGCAGAGTTTGCACGGAAACAGTCGTGAACTCAGCGCGAAAGCCTCGCGCGCGCGCTTTTGAATCCCTGCGACTCCACAATCCCCCGTTCTCGAGGAGGAGGAGGAGGAGGAGGAGGAGCAGAAGGGGGAGGAGGCGGAGGAGAAGGAGGAGGAGGCGGAGGAGGAGGAGGGGGAGGAGGAGGAGGAGGAGGAGGAGGAGGAGGAGGAGGAGGTGGAGGAGGTGGTGGAGAGAAGAGGCAGAGGGAGCATCCCTCTCCCCTGCTTCGAGGCGCTGCATCCTGCTGTCCGCCTGGGTGCTCAACCCCGTGGTCGTCACGGTCGCCGCTGGGGCGCCCCCCCGGCGGGACGGGCATCGGCGTTTGCTCTTCGTATGTTCGTGTGCCAGTACTGGGATGTTTGTGCGTATGTGACCGTGGCCTGGATATCAACCCAGATGAAATTGGTCACGCTGAGCGAGAGAGAGAGAGAGAGATATATATATATATATATATAACCAACACACATCTATATGTATAGAAAGACAGAGAGAGAGAGAGAGCGCTCCCGCTCCTAATCCTATCATGCTGTTCCGTTGAGTGGTCTCACTGGGGACGGATGAGGTTAGGCGCCTCCGCTCCTACCAATGAGGATGGTCGTGTGGAGGCAGGGGCGTTCGCAGCGTTTGTCTTGATTGCGTGCTGAGCAGCAGGAGGGACTCCGGTGTGGAGAACTGTGATGTTAAGACCCGGGACGGTGTGCACAACGTATTATGACCTAGCGCCCGCACCAACGCCGTCGCCGACGCTCAACCCGCTACCCAGCTCGACTGAGGAGAGCGCCGAGAGATCCGCCTTTCACAGCAACTTGCAGAGTCGATGCCAGCGGGTGGTGCCTTCCAGGAAGTTGGCTCCGTATTCGGCAGTGTCTGAGTACGTGACGGTTATGGCGTAGCGAATTCAGATGAGGAAGTTCAGCATGTTTACGATGACACGCTTGCGAGCGGCGTTTACATGCGGTGGTATAACGGCCATTCCCTGGGACGCGGGCGGACGCGAAGCGCAATGGCGGGTGTCGCTATCGCGCCGATGACGTCGGTATCAGACACCCCCGCTGGCTCAGGCTTGAGGGCGTCTAGCTGAAGGTCGGCCATGGGTGCACGCACGCTGGCAATAAGCATTTGAAAGTTGACGTCCAAAACCTTGCGCGTGCAGGGTATCCCGTTGGAGACCTGCCAGGCGTAAACGACCATAGCATGGAGCATATCCCAGCAGAGCGCTGCCACCGCCGCGTTACCTTTCAGATGTCTGAAGGGGACCCTCAGCTCTGTAGTGGGGATACCAAACACGTGTGCCCCAAGCCGCTCCAAATCTCGAAAAGGGCAACTCCGTTAAGCGTTCTTTTCGGCTATGCCTAAGAGTGGCCCTTCGCCAGAGTGACCTTCGGTGCGGGCCCATAGGAGTCCAGGAGTCCTGACAGCACTGGCTGGCGCGCTTGTATATACTGGATGTACCCTCCCCCGCGGCCCCCCGAAGCCGCGCACCAAGAGTCACTCGTGCCTGGGGTCACTCCTGCGTGGAGGCGATCTTCTGGCGGAAGCAGCCCCAGAGGCCCTCAAGGCGGCCGTCACGACCCCAGAGGCCCCCAAGGCGGCCGTCAAATTGGCCCCCCAGGTGGTCTCACGAGGCGAGGGGGGAAGCCTTCAGGCGTGGGGTAGGAGGACAGACAAACCCCTCGCCCACGGGGAAGTAGATGAGTGGACGAACGAGCGTCCTCAACTCGGGACGATCGACACGGGTACGGAAACAATGGATGCAAAGACCGACAGCACTTCTTGCTCATTTCGAACAGGACTCGTTGTCGATGTCGTCGCGGGCGTTGTCCATTTGAGAGAGACGGCCGCTTGCCTATCAGCGGCTGCTGTTGGTTTCGGACAACATTTGGTGTTGGGCATCGTACCCATTTTTGTCCGTACCCATGTCGGGCGTCCACCTCCCCCCAAGGGGAATCAGATGTGTGGACGAACGAGTTTCCCCAACCACTTCCGCCGAGATGATGGCCAATCTGGGGTCACAGAGGTTCTTTTGGTGCCGGCTCCAAACCTCATCGTCGGACCATCCGAGATCGGCGTGAATTCGGCGCCAGCCCCGAGCCAACATCATTCGCGTGCCAGACAGACCTGGAGATCGGGCCCGCTGCGCCAGCCAGCCGAGGCTGCACAGGCTTAAGGCTGAGTTGCCTCGCTACGCCCGTTCTGAAACGCAATACGTCTCCCGTGTTCGAGACGTCCGTGCCAATACGCTGCGTGCTGGCTCCACGTGTAGTGGACCACGCTCTGGCGAATGTTTATCGCCGTCGCACCTGCGTTTTCAGCCTGTTGCCGTGCTCCTCGGCGTCCGGCGGCGGCCCAGGAGGAGGAGGAGGAGGAGGAGGAGGAGGAGGAGGAGGAGGAGGAGGAGGGGGGAGGAGGAGGGGGGAGGAGGAGGAGGAGGAGGGAGGAGGAGGGAGGAGGAGGAGGGAGGAGGAGGAGGAGGAGGAGGAGGAGGAGGAGGAGGAGGAGGAGGAGGAGGAGGAGGAGGAGGGTGGTGCCCCGCATCGATACGCTACCGCGCGCTGCCTGCTGCGCAGCGGGGCAGCCTGCGCGCACGGGCGCGCAGCGCCGAGGGGGCCCGGCTCCTGGGCGCCTCCCGCGAGGAGGGCACCCCGCCCTGCGCGGGTGCTCGCGCTTGCAGGCACGAGCGCCCCTCGTGGGGAGTCCGAGCTCTCGGGCCCCTGGCCGGGCCGCCGCCGTCCCCCCCCGCGCGCGCGAGGCGCCGAGGGGGCCCGGCTCCGGGGCGCCTCCCGCGAGGAGGGCACCCTCCCGAAATAGCCCCACCAGGCCCAATTCGTTGCTGTTCCGCTGGTTGTCTTAAGGATGTGGGCATTCTCGCCTTTTTTCCGCTTTCGCCGCCCCAAGACGGCGACAGGGGCCCCCAAGATTTCCCTAAGACGACCCAAGAGACCTCCAACAAGGCCCCAAAACAGTTCAAGAGGACCCCAAGAATCCTGCACGGGTGTACGCACGCACGCACGAGAGCCCCTCGTGGGGAGTCCGAGCTCAGTCCCCCGGAGAGACCAGGGCACAGAGATAAGCCAGGACACAGACAAACCAAGGAAGCGATACCCTCTCCTGCCAAGTCACAGTTTGTTCAGCACCCGTGCATGTTTGTTCGCTGCGTTGCAGGATTCGGGTTTGTGTCTGGGTTCAGGGGGGTCTTGCAGGCTTTCAGGGCTTGTGTCTGGGTTTATGGCCCCTCATGGAGAGTCCGAGCAGCGAGCGGGAAGGCCCCGGTACAGCATCCAGCGTCAAGTCGGGCGTGTCCCCCTACAGGGGGACATGCGACGAAAAATAAAAAATACCCCAAAGATATTCTAACATTGTCAAAAGATACTCCCAAAATAGTCTCCAGACTATTTGTTTACTATTCTTGACATTTCCCCCTGTAGAGGGACAGACCCGACTTAAATCCAGCGCCGCCGCTCCTGGTCGGGGGGTCCACGGGGCCTCGGGAACGAGCCAAGACCTTCTAAGCCTCCTCATGGGGTCGGAGATGATGGGTCGGAGGATCGCGCCGCATCGCCGTCGGCGTGGAGCCATTATTTCTCCACGCCGATGCATTGACGACGTCGCCGACGCATCGCCGATGCATCGCCGATACATCGGCGATGCGGTGCAACCCTCCCACCCCTATTACCCGGACCCTATCTAGGAGACTTCTAGGTCCTAGGCCCTGCGCCTGAACTGTCGCCTCCCGCTGCCCCGCGCCGCCCCTCCGAGGTCGTCGGCCTGCGGCCGACCTTGTCGATGCTGTGGCTGTCGTGGTGGAGCGCCGCGGCCATAGTCGGGCCCTGTTCCGATCCACGGCATGGGCCGCGGTCGCTGGGCACGAATCGGTGCTTACCAGCCTGGAACATATCCCTATCCCTATGCTGGGCATCTCCTCGTCACGATGCCAACCTCAGGGATTCCCTTTTTTTTGAGGGCGCATCCCTAAGATTGTCATCGCCTTTTGGCGTGTCAATCTTAGGGATAGGGATAAGTTCGAGGCTGGTAAGGTGCATGGATATTCGATCCATCGATCCTCGGCCCTCCATCGCTCGATCGATCGACCGGTGGATCCTATGGTATCGCCGCGCCCCTGCGCCTGCTCGAATGCTTTAGAGCAGCCCGCTTGAAGCCGCTCGCATGTTATGCTGCTGTCCGCGTCAGCAGGACACTCTGTTTCAGGAGGGGAAAAAACACAGACACAATCAATCGTCGATTCCCCAGAAAATGTAGGAAAATATGGGAAGTGGGGGGAAGACAAAAACCCAGAAAATATAGGACAATATGGGGAATGTTTTTATTTGTGTGCATTTATTTGCGTGTCCCAGGGCCCCTTCAATGTTGGGATGCATCGTCGATCTGCCGCAGAAGAAGAGCTGCGGCACAAGCGCAAAACCATGAAACTCCGCAGCCCCTTGGGGCACCCGCGGGAAGCTCGGTGGCCCGGGCTGCCTTCAGCGGGGTCGACGCGAGAGCACGATCGCGCCCCGTGGTCCGCGAAAACGGGCCGGAGCGCTTTGCATACGGCGGGGGCATCCGAATCGAAATGCCCCAAACAGTGTTTGCACTCAGGGGCTCTGCCTTTGCTTGCCCAAGGAAACTGAGCTCGCTGATTGGACCCGCCGCCCTGTTGCCGCCGTCGCCGCCCCCGCGCCGCCTCGCCGCATCGTCGCCGTCCGTCGTCGGTGCTTGTTTCTCGGGTCTGCTGCCCTGTTGCCGCTGTCGTCGCCCCGTCGCCGCCTCGTCTCCCGTCGCCGCCCGTCGGTTTGTCGAACATGCCGCCCTATTTCCGCCGTCGCCGCCCCGTTGCCACCTCGTTGCCGCCCGTCGTCTGGGCTCGTTTTGTCGGATCCGCCGCCTTGTTGCGGCCGTCCCCGCCCCATCGCCGCCTCGTCGCCGCCCGTCGTTTAGGATCGTTTATCGGGTCTGCCGCCTTGTTGCCGCTGTCGCCGCCTCGCCGCCGCAACAAGGACTGCACCACAAAGATTGCATCACATAGGCTGCACCACATACACGGCTTCCATTACGTACACTGCAACATGTACAATGCGCTATGTATGTACACATTTACATGTGCAATAATGTATGTATATACAGATTGCGTCATTCAGGTTGCACAACATAGATTGCGCAGCACCTACATGGCACCACAAAGACACCACATGGGGCGTTCCAGAAAGGATTTCGCCGTCGAGGATCGAAGGAATTGCCATCTTTTCCTTGGTGGCAGGCGGCGGAGGGCGGCGGAAGTAAAACTTGGGCGGCTCCGCTGGCAGAAGGCAGCTGAAGCCAGCAGAGGTTTTAAGACGCGCCCCAGCAGAATTTCCGGAATCGCCTACATAGATTGCACCGCATTCGTTGCACCACATAGATCGCACAACACAGCTCACAACATGGATTGCATAACGCAGATTGCACCACATATATTGTACCATATACATCGATTCACATATATTCCACAACATATATTGCGGTTGCATGTCATAAATTGCACATCGTAGATTGCACGACATGTATTGCACGACATAGATTGCACAACATGTTTGGTATATCATTTTGCAGCACACAGGTTGCACCACATACAGTGTTCCGCATTGAATGCACAGCAACGGTTGCACAACATTGTCTGCACCACATCGATTGCACAACCTAGAGTGGGACCATCGGACCGCCCGCCCGCTCCGAGAGTTGGGACCATCGGACTATCGGATCAGGCGGATGCTGCGGTGCTTCGCCGAGGCCATACCGTTCGCAGTCGTTCTCACCATGCTCTCTGGCAGGGTCAGGCTGGCTGCAGGTGACCCAGACTGGGTTCAGGAGCTTCATTTCCGTTTAAGCAATGAGAAGGTCAAGCGAGGCGCTCGCATGCCACCGAGACAAGCGCTGCTTCCATCGTGCCGGACGATGTTTCGCAGCAGACCGCTTCCCGCTTCCTTCCCCATTCGCCCTTGAAGCTCCTCTCCCTTTTCCCGTCCTCGCCTTTCCCCTCCTCCTTCTCCTCCTCCTCCTCCTCCTCCTCCTCCTCCTCCTCCTCTTTCTTCTCCTCGTGCCCCGCGTGGGCTCGAGGAGGGAGAGTGGAGGGAGGAGGAGAAGGGAGGCGCGTGCGGCCGAGCCGCGTAGACCAGAGGAGCAAAGGGCCGAGAGCGGGCCCAGCCCGTCATCGGCCATTCCGAGAATCAGGTCATTCCGAAAATCAGACGAGCCAACATGTCGGGCAGAGCATCGCATTAGTCGGAGGTGGACAGAACCCCAACAGTGACACGTCGATTAGTGAATTGTCCGTTTTCGGTTCTCGAGAGGGCGCCGCGGCCGTTATTTTCCAGGCTTGCGCTCGCCAGGTTTGGGCCTCAGGTCGTTTTCACTAAACCACGTTTTACTAAAGGGAGGTCTGCCCATCCCCGAATTAGAGTTCAGTCTCCTAGAGGGAACTCCTCGACTTGGGGTGCTTGCTAGCCTCAATAGCAGTCGCTGCAGCACGCTGATTCGATCGGGGCGTACTGTGCTCTGAAGGCCCAGGACACTTGCCCGACAGCTTACAGCCTCCACCTCGGCGAACCCCGAGCTGAAACGAGCGACAAAGCGGGCAATACACAGCACCGTGGCAAAACAAAACACGATGGCCATCAAGCTCGACGGTATCGTCAGAGTCGGGCGGTACTGAGCCCTTCAGGCCAGGAGGAGCATCCCCAGGCGGGCCCATCGGAAAGGAGGTCAGCAAAATTGAGGCCACTTGGACGGCCTCGCTCCTACACAGCGGGGCTTGCAGCGAATCCTTATCATTGCTGGCCCCCAGCGCTGGTTGCCCCGAGGGCTGGCAGACGGCACAGTTAGCAGATCCAGACATCATTGTACGTAGATTGGTCGGCGTCCTCGCAATGGCCAAGCAGAATTTGCATGTGTAGACCCCAGGGATCCGAACAACAGCGGTGCGAGGGCAGGAGGAGGAGGACGAGGAGAAGGAGGAGGACGAGGAGGAGGAAGAGGCGGAGGAGGAGGAGATGCCTACCCCAGGTGCGGGATGGGGCTCACCCACTCGCTTCTTAAGTCAGCCAGGCCTCCCATGTACTGCCTCCCTGGCCGCAAGACGTGTGGCCGCATGCGAGAAGAATCGAGCCTATATCGTGGCGCTTTGCAGCTTCGATCGGCGTCACCCCCGCATACTAATACTATGTGTGCGTCGCCCCCCCCCCCCCCAGGAGCGACGCGCGTACCGAGAAATCTTATGTATGCGTCGTGGCGGGCGCTCTCTGGCCACGCCGCTCGGGAAGCGATATACTACACGATGGGTGTAGTATATGTTCGGGTCGGACGCGCGCCTCCAATGAGAACATATAGTACTAGTACGTCGTGTTGCGTCCCAATTTGTTCGCAGGATATCACGGGGTTGTGAGCGAACAGGGAGGCAGTTCCCTACGTCCTTCCAACCGTCTGAATGGGACCCGATCGGGGTCCAGATGTTGCCGTTATTGGCATCCCGTTCTTCCCTTACCTGTGCCATCGACCAACCTAGTTTTGGCCACGTTGGGGCCATTCCAGACACACACACGTGTACACAATCGATGTCCAGGAAGCCAAGTCCGAGGCCCAGTCTCCCCAACTATCGTGAGGTACGTTGCCCTCGACGTGGGGAGGAATGGACGTACTGAGGGGAATGCCAACGCTGGGTCCTCCTCGTGAGCCTTCCCCCACCCCCCGAAGGCATCGAAATGCATGGCCCAGGATGTCGTCCCAGCACAAGTCATCGCCGTCCGTTACCTGGTACAGCCGTGTACAACCAAATGTTGTGGGCCCGATGGTGGCCTTGTCAGCTGACCATTGCATGCATGCAGGCGGGATCTGGTAGCCTCCCTCGTGCAACTTGGCCCTTGGCCAGATAGATCCAGGCCGTCGCGCATGCAAGGCTCCAGCGAAACGAGGGCGAGCGACCGTTGCTTAGCTCCTCCACGGTACCTCCTCATTAACCCTCCTCGTCCATAGGGTCTCACCTCCAGCACTCGTGCCCTGATGATGTTCAAGTGTTCTCGCACCTCGCTTCCTTTCAGTACGTTTCCTGACTAGCTCCTGGAGGTCCTTGAGAAGGGTCTTCATGAGGTTGAAGGTATGACATAGACCGCCAAAGAAGCCCGTGGCAGGATTCATTCCCCCTCAGATCCTTCCAGGGAAGGCCAGGGTGCCGCTAGTAGGCCCCCTGCCACCTTCCAGGACACATTGTTGGTGATCTGGGGCTGAAGAGCCATCCAAGCCGACTGCAGACGCCCAGGACAAACCCGATGGTCTCAAACGAACAAGGTGGCATTCAATCTCGGGTCGCACTTGGGGTCTGCCTGCGTGACCAGCACTGGCGTTGAAGCAAAGGAGGACGTAGCAATGCGACCACCAAGACGGCTGGTCATCTGGTGCGAGGTCGACAGCTCCTGATCGTTGACGCCAACGGTGGTTGCTCAATGAACCGCAGCAGGAAGACGGCATGTTCTTCAAGGGGTAGTGACACGCCGACCCGCTCTTCGGCTCAGCATACGCAAGCTTGGCACTCGATCCCCGAGCTGAGCGAGTCTTCGCGTGCCTTGTTTCCGAACTGGTGCCGCACCGCATAACTCGTGTCCTAAATTCCGAGCCTATCCCTTACACGACAGCCGTTTTTTCATACTTGGAGGCCACGTTCTTGAACGTTGTGAGCCCGTGGGAGGCATTGGCAACCCATCCAAACCAATTAATCTGCAGCAGACGCCCAAGCGTTGCCGTATCATTCGCGAAGCTCTTGAGACCTGGCATGAGCTCTGGCGAGTTTCCTCCTGAGGGCCCTGCCCACAGAAACGTGCTGTCGTCCACGAGGGCCCTGGGAGTCACGTTGGGGCACAACTGGTGAACCTTTATGATGGACCTGTAGGTGGGGATCGTGAAGAGGGGGGGGGGCGTGGGTACATCCCGCTGGTATGCCCTAGTACACCTGGACTGGCTTGCCCCGACATCCGAACGCTTCGAGGACCCGAGGCCGCGAGCACCTTCCAGCCAGCATCCATGACAATCGAAGCGGAAACCGCAGCCGACGAGTCTCAGCAGTCAGCGTTGGAAACACCACCGTCTCAGCACATGCCCACATGTCCTGGAACACCGTGATCGGGATTCACCTAGAGCAGCTGCCACCTCTGCATGCAGTGTATGCTCGAAGGCAACATCGCGGGGCGAGTGGCCCCGGCGATTGCTCCCCACGTGAAGCAACCGCCGTGTGGTTGTGCACCCAGGGCCTTGAGGTGTGCCTCCTGGCCCCAGCCCACAGTGCCACTGAACCCTAAACCAACGTGATCGGCCGCGTACCTCCCTCTGGCTTGCCCGTTCTCACCACTGCACTCAGAGCATGAGGAGGGCCACGCCATCGGTGCCTCACACGTGGCGTAACTAGAGCGTGCAGAGGGCCGTGTGGGCAGCAACAGACAGGCACGCAGGGGGCAGGATAGTTTCGGCAGCTCACCCCACAATGTGTGATCGCTGGGCGGTTACGGCTGGCCCTGCTCATGACAACTTTGAACCTCATGCCAAATATCCATCCGCCCACGATGCGCCAGCTGTAAAGGGTGAGCTCGCTCGGCGTGCAGCACTGGCGCCTCCGTCGTCTGGACTAGGGACGTTCTTTGTGTGCTGACCCGCCGCCACGAGTAAAAGCAAAGCCAGCACACTTCTACCATTCACCATCTACCTGTCTGTGGTTCTCCTTCCTGTACTCATCAGCCGTCTCAACCACCGAGTGTTCTGCCTCCTCAAAATCCTGGCTGAGAGAAACCTCCAAGAAGGCGCCCAAAGAATCCCCTCGTCTCATCACTCAGCATCTGGAGGGCGGCAGTGTGAACTCACTGGTTGAGAAATCCAATGGTGTCCACCGGTCTCGTGAGCTTGACAATCGGCGAAGTCACTGCCGGTCACTGTTGGGTCCTCTCCTTCTCTTACGTGGCAACTGCGAACCAGGGAGGCCATCCGCTGGATTTGGCGCTCTGACTCCAGATCCTTAGAGGTGACGTGGCGACGTTGGAACCCAAGCGGCCATCTCCAGGTTTTAGCGGAAGATGGGACGGAACTTGGTGACCTGGGTTCCGTCACCAGTCATTCGAGCTTGTGCGACGGCATGTAGAAGTTGGTGCTGAGCTAGGGGGTGGTCCCACACAGCAGGTATGGGTGCCGTCACCGACAACCCCAAGAATTTGGTTTTCGTTGCGGCGCTGACCGACGGGCAGCCAGAACATCATTTACCCAACTCCTGCGCGTCTGGCTGGTGGTCCTCCACAACAGGCACGGGTGCCGTCACCAACGACGATTTCGCCTCGCAAGCAACACGTGGATTCGAGGCTGTCCCTGCCGTCGCGGTACCCTGCGCCATCAGTGGGATGGAGTGGAGGGTAATGAGGGGAGGGTGGGACGAGTAAGAGGAGCATTCTACAGGAGTCTACAGGAATGACCGGTAAGCAATTCACGATGCGAAGGATTGCAGTGTATGATGCCTATCCTACCCCCAGCCCTGTCCTGGGCCACGAGCATGGCCAAGTGCCCTTTTCGCACGACGCTAATTCTAGCACCATAGCTGGTGTGAGGGGTCGTGTGCTGGCGCTGTGCCCTAGCTCTCGGCGAACCTGATTACAAGCCCGCGCCCCTGCCAGTTCGCTTCCGACCTACTACACGAGCGAACCCAAGTATGGTAGCTGATTCTGCAGGCTCGTGCGTCAGACTTTCGGTCGCTGCTTCTGTCCCGCACCGAAGGACCTTGCTGCTATCAGCTGCTGTGTGGCCATCGCGGGGGACGGGTCTTGCTCCACATCCCCTCTGACCTCCCTCGTGCGGGCGTGCTGGGGAGTCGTGCAATGGGATGCGGAGCAGCATGAGGTTTGCAAGATTGTCGGCTCGACCCCTGTCGGGATGCCGCAGTCCGCCGTGCGTGCCGAACACCAGCGTTTTTATTCACAGCTGCCGAGGTCTCAGACGGGACCTGCACGTACATATGGGACTGCGCCTCGGTCCTGGAGGCGGCCCAGCAGGGGGTGGCCCAAGCCGGCAAGCCCTCGGGCCCTTCCGCGGGCTTTTGGAGGGCCCTCCCTCGGCAGGATGGGGCCTTTGCTGGGCTCGTCAAGCAGAAGTCGCACGTGCACGTCCTTGAGCAGCCCACCACCGACAGCGAGTGGGCTGCTTGGCTCAACGACCAGGCTGACAAGGCCGCCAGGCAGGGAGCGCGCCTCCACGGCGCATCGGCCGCCCTCGCCGCAGGCCTCGAAGATCCGCTGGCGAAGGTCAGGAAGTAACCCGTGTGCTGTGCTCTGGGGGTTCCTGTCCAAGGCGTTCCTTTGCAAGCACATCGTCTTCGGCACCGCCTGGTCCCGAGGCTTTGCCTCCTCCTGGCCTTGACGTGAGGCCTCTCCTTCTGTCTTCCCCTCCCGCTAATTCTGGCTTCGCGCGGCCCGCTGAGTCTCGACCGGAAGAGGTTCAGGAGGAAAAGAAACACACAGCCACAATTAATCGTCGATTCTCCAGAAAATATCGGAAAATATGGGAAGCGGGGGGGGAAGACAAAACCCCGAGAATATGTGAAAATATGGGGAATCTGGTTTATTTGTGTGTATTTATGTGTGTATGTGTGTGTGTGTGTCCTGGGGCCCCTTCAGAGGTCTCTCTCGCCCCGCGAATGAAAAAGAAGTGTGCTGTGCTCTGGCCCCTCGCCGAAGCAGTCATGGGTCGAGCTGCGCAGGCCGCCGCCCTCTCGGGTGGCGACCGCCACGGGCGCCCACGAGTATTCGTCGTGGTCGGCAGGAGCCGCCGGCAGTGCGTGCGCGCTGCCTCGGGTGCAAGACGTCGACTTGGCATCGCTCGGACGTGTGCATTTTTCCTTCGGCGAGGACCATCGAGGAGCATCCTTGATCATTTGGCGAATAAACCACGCACGAAACCGAAAAAAAAACAGGGAATGGACGTCCGAGCAATGGCGAGTCGAGGCCGTCCGCCCCCGATCGCAAAGACTGCCCACTCGAAGGTCGGCCCCCCAGTTTTGCGCGTGTCGAGGCCCACGCGGAGTCGCATGATGTGTTGACTGGTGCGGGCTCGCAGCCAGGCCTGGAGCACCCGTGGGCGGGGCGCTGCTGTCCTGCAGACGGTGCCCCGTGTACGCCGCCGACAAGCCTGCTGGGCTTGGGAGCCCGTGTCCTGCGCCCCTCCCTGGAGGGGAGAGGAGTGCTGCAGCGCGGCACGGGCGGAGGCGCTCCCTCAAGGGTATGCATTCCCGGTGTGGCGGAGATGCCGTGGTACTCGCCAGCTGGTCGATATCACGCCATGCATCCGTCCCCGAGGCGCCCGTTGCCACACAGGCCAATGGGTAGCGTTTCGTTGCCAACCGACTGCGCTGCAGTCACCACGCACGGGACGAGAGCTGCCACCTGCTGCTCGCCCGAGCTGACGCCAGCAGCGCAGCGAATCTGTATAGCTGCCCCTCTCCGACTGGAGTCTGGGCGGGGGCGCCCGCACGATCCCACCGCACAGCACCGAAAGGCGCACACAGCTAGTAGCCGACCGTTGCGTAACAGATCCCTCCGTTCCGCCGCCCGCTCGGGGGTGCCGTCCGGACGTGGCCAGGACGAGGACAAATCCGTTCCAGAGCGTGCCGGAACGCTCTCAGAGCGTTCCGGAACGCTCTAGAAGGGCCGCGGCGCCCGAGGCATCCTCCAGAGCCGCCAGATCTCAGAGTATCTCGACTTATCCACACCCGAATTTATCTTCGTCCTGGCTTCGTCTTAGCACTGGCGCGAAGGCCGTTCAGCGTCCAGCTGCCACGAGGGCCCTGATCACAGAAGCCAGCAATCTGCCGCCGCGGGCCTGCCGAGGCCTCTCGCCCTCAGACCCTGGTGGGCTCTAGGCCGAAGAAAACAAACATTCATAAGCAAGCACCTTTTTCGGAGGTCCGTGAGGACCTCCGGTCAAAATGGGTGTGTACGCCGTTGGTCGTTTCTGCTATAGCCGAAGATCTCCAGTGCGCACGTCAGCCACATGTGCGTTTGACCTCATGTGTGTCTACCCCATCTAGATATCGGCACACCGCTGACGCCGTATTGAAGGGGTTCGGTGGACACGCCCACGTCGGCGCTAGCACACGTTCTGGTGACCATCCATACGTATGGTGGCCACGGGGAGGAGGACGAGGATGATGTGGATTGACACCGCGGTGAACCAACCTGAGCTTGTGCAACGTAAGGTGACGATGTGGGGGTTGTTTCTCTCCCCGCTGTCTGAAGGCGCGGGCGTTCGGCCGCAAATCATGGAAGCCTGGCGTATCCTCTTAATTCCGTCTATGGCGTCGGTTAACGTCCATTCGCGTCTGGGAGTCGATGGGGCAGCGCCGATTTGGCGTCGGCTAACGTCGATTAGCGTCGATCTAGCGTCGATTAGCGTCGATGTAGCGTCGGGCAGCGCTGATTCGCAAGAGCCTCCAACAGGGTACGGGAGGCTCCCCTGAGTTGCCACCGAAGGCTGACGCCGCGAGCCCGTGCAACGTAAGATGACGAAGAATAAGAGGAGGAGGAGGAGGAGGAGGAGGAGGAGGAGGAGGAGGAGGAGGAGGAGGAGAGGAGGAGGAGGAGGAGGAGGAGGAGGAGGAGGAGGAAGAAGAGGAGGAGGAGGAGGAAGAAGAGGAGGAGGAGGAGGAGGAAGAAGAGGAGGAGGAGGAGTTGCCGCAGGACCCGCTGTCCGAAGGCGTCTGGCGCGGGGCAGCGGCGATGAAGGGGGGGAGCTCTGGGCTCGGGGGGCGCTCCTCGCAGCAGGAGGGCTGCCCCAGCGCGGCCCTGAGCGTCCACTGGCTCTTCTCGCGCCTCGTCTTCATTGGCCTGCCGATGTGCCTGCTGTCGATCCAGGCCGTCGGCAGCAAGAGGACGATCGAGGAGGGTCGGGGTTCATCGAAGGCCAACAAAAACGGCATACACACAAAATGTCGGCGTTCCACGCGGATTTCTTGGACCCCAGCGGCGCCTCCGGCGCCGCCCCTGGCGCGCTCCGCGCGCCAGGGAGGGGGGTCCGGCGCGGATCCAAGAAATCCGCGCGTAGCGCCATGCGTTCATGTTTATGCCGTTATACTGTTTCTTCTGTATAAGTTTGTTTAGTGGGGTGGGGAGCTCCTGTGGTGGGGTGGGGGGGGGGCAGGCCTCGTCGCCGCTGCTGGATCACCCCGCGATCTTGGTCTGGCCGCGCCCCGGGAGGAGCTCAGGCTGGAGCCGCGGAGGAAAAATACGAAATAGTCAACACATATTCCAAAATGGTCAAGAATAATAGAAAAATAGTCCCCATATCATTTTTTGACTATTTTTGGATATTCCTCCTCCTGTAGAGGGACAGGCCCGACTGAAGTGTAGCGCCGATGCCACGTTTGGACAAGGGCCGTTTGGGCCCACCTTCCTTGGGAGGGTGCTCTGGGATCACCACCCACCAAACCACCCCAACCCAACCCGAAGCCCTCCATTTGCCTTCCATTTCCAGTGGGGGGGGGGCGGGGAACGTTGAACAAACACATGGAACGCGTATCCCCCCCAACCCGAAATTCGGGTCAGATTCGGGTCTTCGGGTCGGGTTGGGGTGGTCTTTGGGGTGATCTGGTAGGTAGTCATGGGAGGCCCCCGTCAGGCCAGCCACAACTGGGGGAGCTGTGGTCCTTACCCCCCTGGGGGACCCATCGACTTCGACACCCCTTTCGAGAGATCGTCGATGCGATGGGTTCCCCCAGGGGGGTAAGGACCACAGCTCCCCCAGTTATGGCTGGTCGCCCCGTACCTCCTCTTCCTCCCTTCTCCTCCCTTTCCGTCTCCTCCTCCCTCCCTCCCCTTCCTCCGTCTGCTTGCTCCTCTTGCTACCCCTCATCCTCCTCCTGCACCCCCTCCTCCCGCGTACCTCCCTCCCCATCCTTCCTCCTCCTCATCCTGCTCCTTCCTTCCTCTCCTCCTCGTCCTCCTCGTCTTCGTCCTCGTCCTCCGCTCTCTCATCCCCCCTCCACTGCCTACGACGCTCGTAGCTCCGAGCTGCTGCAGCCAGCGGGGCACCGTGCCTTTTGGGAGGGTGGCAGGCCACCTCCGGAGGTTCGATTCAAGACCCGGTGAGCACCTGCGTCAGAACGGCAGCTATCGTGTCGGGAAGATTGGGCTGGGAGAAATGGTCAGATCATCAGTCTTGTCGCGTCGCTTGAAAATCTTACTACTCAGTCGTACCCTGTATCTTCCCAACCCCTTACTGCCAACATGATCAAGTTTTTCTAGGTGGTGAAGGTCCAGACACCTCTGCTGAACATGCTATGGCTAGGCGCGTTTAGTTCGCGCCTTACCCGAGAATGTGCTCTCGGAGGCTGGTGAGCCGCCTTCGGGGGCCCGCTTCAGAACCAGGAGGGCACACTTGCGGCGGCGAAGGGCAAGGCAGCTCAGCTGAAGAGGCACCTCTGTGCTCGGGGGGGCGCCCTGGGGAGTGGCCATCAGGCAGGCAGTGCTTGTGTCGACGAAGCTGGCGAACTCTGCACGCCCGATCTCTTCACTCACGGCTGATAATGGAGGATGACGGTTAATAAATGGCCGGGGGTCGTGTTCACGCGGCGGCGCCCGGGATGACGATTCGAAGAAACCGGCCGCGGGCTGGAGAACTATGTTTTGAATCGTTCTCCCCCAGTCAGAAAACTGTGCAGAAATAGCCGAAAGCTATTTATTAATCGTTCTCTCCAATTTTTTATTAATCGTCATCCCGCATTACCATTGCGTTGGGTTGTGCTGCGGCATCCAGGCAGCTATGGGCGGCGCTGGCGCAGCACAGCAAAGAGAGAGAGAGAGAGATATATATATATATATAGATAGCTATATATGTGGTACCCGGGCGGCTAGCCGTGGCCGGGGCGAAGGGAGCGAGAAGGAAGGAGAGGGGAGGCCGGGGGCTGATGCTGCTGGCATGGAGAGAGGGATGATGATGATGATGATGATGATGATGATGAGGAGGAGGAGGAGGAGGAGGAGGAGGAGGAGGGCCAGTGGCAACGCACGACGCAAAACGATGCTGCAATAGGCCCCCCCCCCCAAGTTCTCTTCTCATAGGTCCCTTTGTAATAGATTGTAATTGATTTGAATCGCGGGATGTGTCACAATTCAAAGACAACTGTCCGAGAATCTTCAAGCATGCCAAAGCACCGTTCCAACGTGAGTGTTGCGTCCTGGTATTCATCAATCGCCCCAGAACGCCACTCCCGAGCCTTAAACCATACGAACCCTTGAAACCGTCGCAGACTTGAAAACGAATGCTCGCGGAGCTAAGGCGAGGGCCATATTTGAAACGAAACCTTCATCAATATTTGAAACTGCTGCAACATGTTAAGAAGAATGTGCGCGGCGCTGAGACGAGAATCACAGTTTGAAAATAGCCCGCCCTCGATTCGTGAAACGGCCGCACACTTCTAAGACGAATGCGATCGGCGCTGAACCAAGAGCCACATTTTGAAAACGACCCGCCCTCCATCCTTGACTTCGCGGTAAACTTTTCAGACGAATGCGTTGGCTTCATCTGGGGGGCTGCGTCCGCCCCTGTCTATTGGGCCCTCATGCCTGGGTAATGGCAGGGGCGACTTTTGGGTGGTATCACCAAAAAGTCCCAATCGCTTTTTGGGACACGCAGCTCAAATCGCAACTTTGGTACGGCGTCGACGTGCACACGCATCTGTATTTTATGCAATTCATTTTAACATATGCGAACTGGCTAGGACACTTGTAGGCGAAAAGAGTCATGCCGTCGCACAGTAAATTCTCGCTTCCATTGTTTTCTTCTGCTTTGGAGGGGGCCGAATATAGATTTTGTTGTTTCAACATCCGTAGACGGTGCTTGGCAAGCTGAACGCGTTGTTGTTAGCACAGGACTGGCAATAAACATCAGTCGGATGACCCCTCCCTGGTGGCAGACAGCCAGAGGTTCGGTTTGCTGTGTCTGGTTCGAGCGCGTCTTCAATGTACATAGCGCAAGCGCTTGATTGTCAAGATGATTTCGATGGCGTTGTGTGGCTGGCCTTGTTTTCGTTTGTTTTGCTCCCGAGTCTGATCGCGTTGTGCGGTGCCCTCAGCTGCTTTGGTTCATGGCCCTCAACAACAGAGAGAAAGCGGCACCCGTCAAGTCACGGGCGAAAATCAGTATCCTCTTCGGGGCTTTGGAGGCACGTTTGGGGCCATCTTGAATGACATCGATCAGCCAGAGGGAGGTGTTTTAATTAGCCTGCCCCCACAACCCCTCGAGCCCCGCAAGCCATCCGGGCCCTCTTGGGGCGCTCTTGGGACGTTCCCGGGCGCTTGGGGGGACCGTCTTGGAGATATCCGGGGTCCTTCTGGGGACACCAGAGGCTCTCTTGGTCCATCTTGGAGCCATCGTGAAGCCTCGGAAGGCTGTTGCCAGCGAAAGGGGCGGAACATGCATAGGTTTTTGATGTCCTTGCTTTGTCTGGGAACTTGGCCGCTCGCGCGTTGGATCCTGAATTTTGGAAATGAGGGCGCGGCCATGGTGGATTGGAAACTAGATGAGACCTTCAGCGGTCGCCACGCGGCTTTCGGGCGTGACACGCGTCGCCCGCGCGCGCATCAGCGCGCCTGCATGGCAGGCTCGTGCGCAGTGGAAGCGCAGAAGTCGCCACCTTTGCGCGGGAACTCAAATCTTACATTCTCGCGCCCAAAGTCTTTGAGAATTTAGCATGACGTTTTTGCGCCCCCTTTGTATGCACCGAGCGCGCAGGACGTGGGCGGTGCGCGCGGCGGTGTCTTCACTGGGTGGGAACGCATAAGTCGCCACGCTGTCATAATAACTAGCGCTTTGCATTGGCGCGCAAGAAAGCTATTGTTGATATTCGCACGTGCACTGGCTCGCACGGCCATCCTGTACATAGCCGTACAGACTCATCGAGCCAGATTGCTTTGAAAGCTGAATGGTTCCATGTAGTGACTGTCGTCCGTTCCCGATGCCAACTTAAGCGCGGTTTCCACATGTACACGAGGTGCCCAGTGCACAGAGGGCGCGCGTGGCGGCGCGTGCATGACAAGGTCTGCCTCGCAGGAATGAGGAAGTTCGGTTGTCTGGTAACCGAAGTACGCCTTTAACGAGCGCGGCCCCGACTCGCAACTTTAAGTGTGTGTTTTCGCAGTTTCGCCAAGAGAAGCACGGTGCAACGCGCTTGGCGGCGTTTCCATGGCAGGCGCTGCGTTGTCGGCGCGGTCAAGTTGCCAACTTGGCTTGGAAGCACAACCGGCGCCCAGGTTTGCGATCCTGGATGTCAGCTGGGCGCGAGGCGTTTTCAATCCGGCGCGAGGAGCTACGCGCGCGCGGCGTCGACCGCGCAGCGAGGTCCGCGGTTCCCAAATCAAGGGTTCGCCTCGCGGGTCCGGGGGCTGACATTGGCATTTGGCGCGCGTTCAATTCCCATGTTCGACTTAGCGCGCTGTTGTCCTAAGCCAACCGCGCGGCGAAATGCGCGACGCGCAGTCGCGCGCGCGCGGCGGCGCGCGCGCGGGGATTTCTGGGCGCCGCGACGCGTACAAGTCGCGCATCGCCTGGACAATGCGCCGAAGATGCCGCGCGCCGCGCGGGTGGCCTCGAGCGCGCGGCCAATGGCAACGACAGCGCGAACTGCGTAGACGGCTTGGCGCGCGTGAAGGCACGGCGAGGCGCGCGCGCCGCGAGCGAGAGCACTCCCACGCTTCTTTTCTGGACCCATGGCGGCGTGATGGTTCGGTGTCCAGGAGCTGTGCTCCGGTCGCGCGCAGTCGAAAGCACGCCCCCGCATCGGGGCCGCCGCGAGCGAGGCGGCCCCGCGGAAGGCGGGTTCGACTGGTTCGCCAGGGGGCGCGCGAACTGGCTGGAGATGCCGTGTTGACGCCGGCCGAGGAGGCGCTGCGGGTCGCGCATGCTC